ATTTCGCAAAATCTGAAGGGGTACCCCCTTGGAAAAATCTCGGAAAAATTGAAAAATTTTTTTTTGTCAAAATATCGAAGAATATCGAAATATATTCTAAAAATCGTCAAAAATTTCACACTTTTTGTTAAGGTTAATGGAAATTACGTATTTTTCATATTTTTCTTGTGAAAAAACTAGCCGGTCGTTGAGCAACGGGATTAGTAGAGGTCGAAGGACCTTTCGTTCACGTGCGACTCGAACGTAGAATTACGTTTGGAAGTATCATGCGTCACGGTGATCAGATTTACGGTAGTACGTATGGAACACGTACGAATAAGTTCCTGCATCGTGCAGCGCGAGACGTAAGCGTATTGCCAAAGACCGTCCTTGGTAAAACGAGAAAATTGGGCAACGCGATGGAAAGGCGACGGAGAGCGAGGCACGTGGCCGTACCTCCGCTGGTATTTTAGCGAATGTGAATTCGACCGCCTGCTGTCGGTTTCCCGAAAAACTCCGGACGTTTATACGACGGTTCTACGTGTCGAGTGAGAGGCGAAAATTGTCCCAGATTTTCCAACTGTTCCAACTCAATTCCTAACCCGTCTCATATTTTTCAAGCACAGCAAAACCGTACTAATGACAATTCTCACGTTTCAATCGATTACGTAGATAATTTCATTTACTCGGAACGCGCGTGGACGCAAACGGTCCAAAGAAATGGGAAAAATTGTTTGTTTTGCATCATCGTTTTTATCCAACAAGAACGATTACCAAGCAAATCTTCACGAGGCATTCTGTACTCACATTTATTACGTATTATCGTAGAACGATTAACGAGACGATTCCTTGAAATGATAATTCATTTAGAAATGCCGTTTGTAATTTAGAGGTGCCTCGCGTGGTCCACTCGGATTATTAATTAAACTACGTTTCGCGTTTATATATTTATTTTCTGAGCAACCGTGTAACTTGGAAAAGTGTGCACGAAGCATTTTTTCGACACACACCGTGCTTCGAGGAGCGAACTTTAAAAAGGACTTTCGAAATCTACGAGTCGCACGTCGAAACGTCAAGTTCTCGAGGAATTTTATGAATCGATCCTGAGGAGACACTGTCGTTACTTCGTAAGAGTCAACGATTTCGCGACGTACGATTTTGCTTAAATTCAAACGGATCGAAATCGAATTTATGTTCGCGCCGTCAAAGAATTCGTAGAAAAGATTCGGTATGAAAAAAGATGGTGGATCTTACCTTGACAGATTGTGTGCCGGCACGTCGGGAAATTTGGGAGAACGGACGACGAGTGACCGCGGCGAAAGAGAAATGCGCGAAACTCGAGCGGCGAACCGAAGAGATGGAGAACGATTCGAGGAGTGGGAACGATTACCTCTTGGACCGGTTCTCCTTTATACACATTGAGGGATGCCCCACTCTCGGTTTTCTCCTCGCGAGTTCCACCAAATACGCGGACCGTCGATAATACGGGGTGAACTCTGCGAGTTCCCCGTTCGATTGTTACCGGGTAGAGACTTTGATCTCGACTGACAAGAAATGTTTATACGAACGCAAACCAGTTTCCGTAGTTTTCTACGAATCGTGCTATTTCATTTTTCTCGGCCCCCCTCGGATCCCATCTAGACGACTTATTATTTATTCAAATGAGACTCGATTCGTAGAAAAAGAAGACGCCAAGTGAAATGTGGATCGACTCGACGAGGGAAATTTTAGAAATCAAACAATTGCGCAACGAAAGCAGGAAGTGGTGCACCTTCTGTTTGCCCTAATAACCACCGAAATGTTTGCCTTTCGAAAGAGCACAGTGATATTGCACGCGTCCATAAAATCGCCTGCGTTACTGGGTCAATTACTCCTGTAAGTTCCGTTTAGTGCGTAAAATGAGAAACGGCCGCTTCGTCATATGCATTTATTCATTACAATTTTGACAGAGATCATAGAACTTCAGGAGACAGTTTGTAGAGACGCGAGAGAAAATGAAAAGTTGCAATCGGAAAATAGAGTTTAGGAAGTCAAGGTGAACGCGGCGATCATCGAAACGAACGTTCCAATGAGCATGGTTGATCTTTCCGCTTCCAAAGATTTCGCCGAGTTTCGATTTTCGATTTTCGGTGACGCTTCATTCTTTGCTCCTTCCTCCTATGAAATCGTTTCAATTACTTTCAGTCAAAGTGAACGGGACTCGTTACAATTTTTAGGAATCGTATTTATACTCAAGGTTGTATGAACCCTTGAATAAAAACAGTGACGAAACATTGAAATTCTAACAATTACTTTGCGAGCCTATTGAAAGAGTTATAACATCTCGAATATTGTTTAAGGT